TTTTTTGGATTTTTTTCTGGTCCTCTCTGAACGGTGACATCGAGTAGAGCAGATCGATACTGAGATGAGATGGGATGGGATGCAAAGAGGGGGTGTACTGATTACGAGGAATGTACTTGATTTACCCATCAAGTATGGTTGACAGGAGTTTTGCTTTAAAGTTCAAGTCGGATCTCTATTAATATAAGCTCATGCTAATATTTTATAATTAGATGATAACGGAGAGGGAAATGCGGATCATCATGTCGGGATGCGTGATCAGGAATTCAGAGATTTATTTGAATTTGCTTTTTTTGGTAGAGATGCAGGGGGAGGTGGAGGTGGAAATGGAAATGGAAATAGGGATAGAGATCAGCTTGATGCTGATATCTGGCGTTTGATGTTGCGTCATGAGGATCCGTATGATCGGGTGGTTTTTGAAGATCCATTGAATGAAGGAGAGGAAGAGAGAGAAAGAGAGAGAGAGATGGCCATGAAGAGGAGAAGGATGGATGAGAGAAAGGGAGGGAGTTATGGAGAGGGAAAATGGGAGATTGAGGATAGGTGAGATTAGTAAGGGGATTCCGTTTCCGGAGGAGGATATCTTTTGAGGATGCTTTTAAGGGGGAGGGGAAGTGGGGATGAAGATGAAGATGATTGGGGTAGAGAGAACTTGAATAAGGGATTTAGCGAATGAAAGATGGTAATAGATGGAAAAGTGAGTGTAAAAGTAAAAGTAAATTAGTTGTAGATGTAGATATAGAATTAGAATTAAAATTGTGTATGAATTAAAAAAAAGAAATAATTTAATTTAATTTTAAAAATATTAAAATATTGTTACGATTCATCAAGTCACGTGACTATGTGGACCGAAAGGACCGAGGGGTCCCTAAGGTCCTCAGCGATGATATGATGTATATAAACATTCATTATTTTATAGTAGAGAAGCTTGGGGTGCTCAACTTAGTTATCAATTAGTTTACCTACATTCTACTTGATTGTTACGTCGGACTTCACATACCGAGCATCACGTGATCAGCATCATGTGATATGAGGATCCCAGTGGGCTCAGCAGTCCCAGTAGCACTGGGACAACTGGGAGCATTGGGACGTATACCACGAAGGTCTATATAATCAAGATGGATTTCCTTTGTACAGAGCTTCGTGCTCAAGATCAATCATTTAGTATACTCTACTATTAATTACGAATTGCATCATTGTCATTACTTAAGTCCCTACTTGACGTCTAGTTATAAATCACCTCGAGAGCCTAAAGCACTTCCACATGATCTAGACGGCAAACCTCGTAACATATAAAAGTTTATGTTTATCTTGTTTAACAATTCCCCCAATACGAGTTCATCTTAAAATAAACTTACTATCAGGGCAAGACTAATTTATAATAGATATTCTAGTCTGGAACGAATTCACTAGTGATATAGACTAGACATATTAATATATATATATATATATACATCTAAATATATATATACAAGAATTATCTATTTCTTATACCTTTCTCTTTCTCATTTCTCACCCATCCTATCCCATGCCATCCCATCCTATTTCCCCTTTCTTTGCTCATCCCTATCTTCTCCCATCATCAATATCATCATCATCCATCTTAAATATCAAGCACCCCAATTTCGATCCATTCATCCCCCACCTCTACCTCCACCTCCACCACAAACATAACTCATGAACATAAACATGAACATAAAACTTGGTATCATATGCATAAATCAAGCATTCATCAAGCCATTCCCCAATTCATCCATCCATCCATCCATCCATCCATTAATGCATAAAAACCCCGCATCCATCCATCCATCAATGCATCTTCCAAACCAAACCAAACCAGCCATACGTCTGTCCCCAACCCCCAATATACCAGGGTATTATAAAGGACTTAACGCCAGCCAGCCGGTCCAGCCACTCAACCCAAATCAACCAAAAGATATTTCCAGCCGATTAGACAGAAAAAAGAAAGAAAGTCATAACGACATAACGGCATAAATCATTACTTGTCCTCATCTCATCACATTTCACCCCGACACCTTTTTCTTTTCCATCTCCACCTACTGTGGTCCAACAGCCTCTTGCCCCTTCAACAAAGTCCTCAACGTCAACACTTCCCTCCTTAACCTAGCATTTTCCTTCTTAACCCTAGCAGCTTCCTCACTACTCTCCCTCATCCTTGTAACTAATTCTTCTTTCGCGCTCATAGCCCCATTAACCCCATTCCCATCCTCTCCACCTGCTCCATTTACCGTCTTTTTACTTGTCCTCAACGCCTTAACAATCTTTCCCAACTCCGCATTAAACTTTTCATATAACAATTCATTCTCGGCGCTACTCTCCTTATAAAGCTGATCCAATGCCCTAACCTTAAACTCACTAGCCTGCAAACTCGTTTCCAATTCCTTCTTCACAGCATCATTCCTCTCATTTAATTCCTTAACAACATTGGGAATTTTTGTTTCAAGAAGTAAAACCGCCTCTGAAAGTCTCGCAATATCAGAAGTTCGAGGAATAGCAGAAACAGCATTTAATTTTGCCATTTCTTCACCAATCTTTGATAATTCATTTTGAAGTGAAGCTTCTGCTTCATTGATGGCTTTGGCTTCATTTTGGAGACGTTCACGAAGCTTTTGAGGACTTTGTAGTCGGAGACGTTGAGGAGATTTAATTCCGTTCAAGTTGTTTGCGGATGAGTTTATTGGACGAGAAGGATCACGGGGAGTTCCACGAAGGGTAGGGATATTAGAAGAGAGAGACACGGTTTTATTGTGACCGGCTCGCCATTGTTCTTTAATTGGAGATGCGACTGGTGTAGAGTCTAAGGAGGACATGATGTTTTGGGCACGTTCGGTTAAGTTACCGACGCTTCGATCAGGAGAGGTAATAGGTGTGTTTTCCTTGAGAGCGGGTGAATTCCGATACATAAGAGATCGGTCTCTATCCATAATCGAACCATTTACTGGAAGCTTCGCAATTTTCATCGGTGATGCTGGAACCTTGATAGGAGATGGAGTTCTTGGTGGAGAATTCAACTTATTTGGTGGCGTTGTCGTAGCAGGTTGTTGTTCAGGAGATGGAGTCATTGGCCCAACTGCTGCTTGAGCCATCAAACTCTTAAGATCAGATAAAGAGCTTCGACGTTTCTTCTTAGATGATCTAGTGGTACCATTATCATCCTGGTCTTCAGGTGGTGGTGATGCACCAATAGTACTAAGCCTTGATTTAGGTGCAATTGAATCGGAACTACCAGGTCTATCGTCAAATGCACCCATAACTGTAGGTCTATCACGAGAACCTGGGTCGAGCTTTACGATCCGGTGATTCAATTGAATGAGCTCTTCCTAGAGATGGTTTGGATGCATACTGATCTCCGGTAGCAACACTACGAGTAGTCTTACTCAAAGTTCTCCGAACTGAAGGACGATGATCCGTATCGGGATTTAGTACTACTTTGGACGAAAAG